TTTTGCTTTACTATTGGTTTCCATTGTGAGGGCGTTTGACTTACGCGATCGCTCCACCCTATTTTCAAATGACTTTCTGACTTGTGCGCAGGGCGCAAAGAGTCTCGTTAAACGATGGATTCCTATTGGATATAGCTACTGTATCTGCACTCCCAAAGTTGAAATTATTATACTAATTTCAGTGATCCCAACGATAGGCCACTGTACAAAACTTTACTTTGTTTAAATTTCATACTATTTAGTTTATTTTCACGTTATCGTTGTTCTAACTATACTTCACATATATTTATTTCTTAGTTATATATAAAGTTACTGTAGATGAAATGAAACTAAGATGACCACTTCAAGATCTCAAGAAAATTTTACCATAACTTGGAAAAAGTGAATATATCCATTATATGCATGTTTCGTAAAACATTCGTTTTGCTTTTTGGATACGCGGAATTATCTCCGAGTTACGGAGAAAAAAACATCTAACAATATTCCTTTGGAAACTAAAATTAAATGACAAATGAAAATTTAACCTATAAAACTTTTACAACATTTTTTAACAACTTGTATAAATTTATCATAATAAATTTTGAATTCCGTAGCTTATATATTATATTATAAGCTTGCATACAAAATTACTTTGAACAAACTATTTCAACATTAAAAAAAGGGATTCATTTTTTCGTGGTTAAAGATTTTGTATCAATACATAAAAATCCCACAACTTAACAATTAATACTAAAATACTAATAGACCAACTATTTTTTTACAATAGGCGACTTATGTATGAAATTCATTATTTATAAGTCTCCGTTATTGCCGTAAACCTTCGACGATCATTCAAATATTTTAAAATCTAGTTTGGTTTTTTAATATTTTTTTCAATATTCAGTTAAAATTTTAGAATTTTTTAAGGTATTAGTTTCTTATCACAAGTTCTTCATGCGTTTCTTAAATACTAAATGTCATTATATCGATATATGAAATGACCATCAAATTAAAGATTTTTATATAGAATTCAAAAGCATGCATAATTTTTAAAATATATTTTTGCGTTCCGTACAATATTAAATATTAAAAAAATGCTTATGTATTCCAAACAAACTTATTTAGCTCTACATTTATCGTATATCGTTCAAAATCTTTGCAATCACTCAATCCAGGGTTTATTAAAAAATATTTAGATTTTCCAGTTTTTTTTTTAAATATTGAAATCGCTCAAATCTCAAACAGTATTTTTTAACCAACTGACCTGCAGAACTTCCCAAGTAGGTGTCAAAGGTAATGCTAATGGACTTGGAATTGGTGGAGACATCATTACATCGCCTTGCATTTGTAATTGCTTTGCGCTCCAAACTAATTCCTGCAACAACAAAAATCATATATGTAAATTTGATTATTTTACGCAAATATATTATTGAAAAGTATATAACTAACCTGACATCTCTCAGCTGACATCAGTATGTGTAACATTCCTGGATGCGTCGAATTTTGCGGCTGATTAAAACTGGGGGAAACCGAAGATTGCATGATATCTGAATCACCAGGCGGGCTCACAGAAGCTGTACCCCCAGATACTCCAGCTGGGGGTCCTACAAAATTATACATAGGTAAAAGAATGTAATAATAGATAATTCTGATTAATCAGCTTACTTTATTAAATTAACGAAGTTCCATAATGTTTAATGATATTTTGTTTTACTAAATTTTACAAATCGTTACCAATACATGAGTACATATTCTCAAATGACTTATGATATTCAACTTAAAACCTTATAAGATACGCTCTAAATGTATCTTAGAATCCAATAAATAAGTAGTCTTAAATTACTTATAGCATTCAAATTAAATTCTTAAAAGATACACTTTAAATATTATGATCAAGATATATATCATGATGTATCTTTCAAATTTTATTAAGAAATTATAAAGTATTAGCTTGTAAATTAATTTTGAATTTCATAATAATAATAGAATAAAAAACAAAATATGTTGTAACCTGGTAAACTTCCAGAAGATGACGCACTGGACGATCCTGGTGCAGGTACCGGTTTCATCATAGGCGATGCATGGTGTCCAAAGAAGGCAGGTGGAAACTGGAAAGAATGCAACGGATGTCCAGCCACTGGCGCAACTGAGTTGAAACCTTGTAGGTGAAGCTTGCCAAACTGGTGGTGCTCTATTTTATGATGACCTGTCATAATGGCATGGGGGTGCAGAGGTGGTAATGGTGGAAGAGCACCATGAGCAATCTGATTATGACCAGAATGGGCATTGGAACCAGGCGGATGTTGTGATTGAGTTTGTTGGTGATGGTGTTGTGCTTGTTGATGATGATGCCCGGACGAATTATGATTCAGCTGTAAATGAAGCTTTGGTTTACGTGGTCCACGTTCATGTTGTACAGCTGAAAAATAGAAACTTAATTTTAGTATTCATTTATCATCATTTTAGCTTAATATTAATTACAATGCATTTTGGCGTTTGTTTGAGCGTAGCGTCTTTAAATTTATAATTAAAATTGATATTGAATAATGAAAATACAATTGAACAGCATACTCAATATTTAAAATAAAGTTAGCGTTTGGTAGGTCAAATGATTGATTGAAACTCATTAATAACCAATAAATGCGTTAATGTAAACATGTTTTTTGCAAGAAATATATGTCAGCATTAAGTCTTAATAAACCATTGTTATAAAACTTGTTATAACACATCAATAGATAATATCATAAAATAGTTAATATCTAAAATTATATTGTTTATCAACTGTATATATATATATATATATATATATATATATATATATATTAGGGAGGTCCTTAAAATGGTCATTTTCGAATTTCCTTGCTCAAATGGTTCCAAATAGATAAAAAACAATTCTCTGAAAGTTTTAGCTCTTAATATTAACGTTTAGATAGAGCGCAATTCAATCAAAGTTTTGTATGTAAATAGCATGGAAAAATTTTCAAAAAGTTTAAAAATGTTTTTTAGATGTGATTTAGCGAACAAATGAATGAATAAAACTCATTCATTTGTCGCTAAGTTACGCCTAAAACACGTTTTTTTAATTTTCAAATTTTTTTCCATGCTCTTTCCATACAAACTTTGATTGAATTGCGCTAGATTATAATAGATTTCTGCAATGATGAATGAGCTGGCAGTTTTACTGAATATAGTCAGATAATTATTTGCTCGATTTGTGTAATTTGTTGTGATGTATTTGGTTTGGTTTTTATAATATTATTTCTCAAATTTAAGTTGGACCATAGATAACAAATTCGCATTTGATGTGTTTGATTAAAAAAATATTAGTACAAAATCTAACCCTATTTTAAACTTTCTCTAAATGAACTCTCTGAATTCAGTTCGCTCTGACTGAAATAGTAATAAATTTTTTTAATACTGTCCAAATGCTCAAGGTACTCTTTGATCGTTTATTCATATCCCTTTTATAAATATAATAATATAAAATAGAATTAATCAGAGTGTTTCAACTTGAAATTCAATTTTTGTTCAGGAATACGATTCTAAATCTGAAATCTGTGTCATCCTATCCAGAAATACCTGAGCAATTAAGTCTTGCAGAAGAACGACATACTTATCGATAACAACGGTGACTTTGCAGAAATCATACAGAACGTGACCAGAGCAATTACCTTAGGAGGGCGCGAGATATCAAGGAGTTTGTGTAGCTTTTTCGAGAGGGGTTGATTTTCCATGGAGTACATTTTAATCGTTCTTTGCGCCCCTATACAATATCGTGCTCCCATTCAATTAATCCTGCATTTCATTGAAGCCCGAGGGCTTTTCAAAAGAGATTTTAAATTAAATACAAATATTAAATATTAGCTAAACATGTTTTACATACATACGCGACTTTGCAGTAGAAGTGAGATAAAAAACTTAAGGGCGCCGAGATTTAAAATAATATTGAAAATATTTAAAATCAACAATGGTGTCATTTAAATAATATTCACTACCTTTGTCTTTTGTGTTGTTTTAAATCCTTTTTATGCCAAGTGATATAAATTGTTTTGAAAATAAACAGATTTCATTTTCGTTCTCACGTATGGTCATAATATATTTGTAAATAAAATATAATGAATACAAATCATTTATTTTCAAAAACTATTTAATTTAGAATTTTAGAATGTAAATACATTGCTTAATTTGTTGTGCGCATGTCGTGAAAAAATAAAATTGTATGAAAATAGCCAATGGCTAATTTCAATATATGAAGAAATTTATGCTAGTTACCAAGATAAATCTTATTAAGACTTAAGATTAGTTATGAGTGAACAAAATTGATCTACTTTTATCAATTATCTAAAAAACAACATCACCGGATTAAATATTTTTTATTTAAACCAATCGATTTATTCAATTAATAAATAATCTAATAATTTTTCAATCCTATCTTTTTGATGTTCTTTCTAAACCGATAATTCAAAAAAATATATATATATATTGAAATGTATAATACACATATTGGTTTCATTGTTTAGTTTTTTTTATTGTAAATTAATTTTTTATGGTTTCTTAAATAAACATCTAATTTTTTATCATTACTAAAATTAATAACGTTAAAAGATTGCTAACTGAGAGAGCTTTTAATTCAAGCAGTATTCTCGGTTTAGAAGTTTATATCGATATTTAAGATATCCCCATAAAGTAAAATAGTGACCACAAAGTATCACTTCGCCGAGAAGTCACCTTTTTTCTTTCAACAAGTATGGGCACAAAACTTTATATAAAACGATAACCCTTTCTATCCCCTTAGAAGTTTCACGGAAAATATATTTGAATTTATATTTAAACTAATTAATGCACGCCATGTATCTAAATAACAATTAGAGAATGTTACGCTTCTTGTAAGTGTGTATACTATAATTATATAAACAATTAGTGGATAATTTATTAATGAAATTAATTATGATTATATTTAGTATCATTTCTAAGGAGATCTTAATTGCGTTCAATGTATTTTTTCCATTTTTTTCACATATTTCATATTCACTTTTGAATCGTTTTTAATTGTCTTTGTAATACTCTATATTATTAAAGACTTGAACAAAAGCCATTAACATCAAAATTGTTATAAATCGCCAATATATGTAAAGAGCATCTCTCAATTTTATGCCGACATACGTTACGATCAAAACGACAAATTTTGATACTAGACTTTAAAACTATTAAAAATAGATATCATTTTTTTTATTTTACGATATAATTTACAACTGTGCTTAGTCTATATCTAGTAAATTTAAAGACAATATAGTTAAATAACATATGATAAATGACAGTGGCGGATCCAGCTTTGGCGTCAGGGGGGGGGGGGGGTCACATAACTAAATTATGTATAGAACATACATTCGCAATACGATTAGAAAATCCTTAAAATTTAGGAGTCTTTGACTCCGCCGTTTGTCTATAATAAGTTACATATTGAATTTATAGAATGTGTTTGGTAACTAAATACATAAATTAAATTATTATGAAGTAATTTTATTGCTGAATTAGTGTTCTATCTAAGTCTTAAGACAAGCTTTGGGGGGTGTCATGACCCCCGTGACCCACCTCCTGGATCCGCCACTGATAAATGAATGACAATAGTAAAAGTAGCCAGTGTTACTTCTACTTCAAATATAAAAATATCTAAAATAATGAAAAAAATAGTCAATATGTTAATATGTCATTATAATCTTTAGTATTTTATGCGTAACAAAAATGTACGTAAGTTCAAAGACTTTTATTTACTTTATGTTTTTTGTGTTTAATATATCTGCATTATCTGATTGAGTGCCTCATTTACTTGTCAGAGAACAAATCTTATTAACGTTATATGTTTTTCGAGTTAAAAAGCTTACTAAAATTTTGTCTTTTGTCCCTCGAACAAGATTAGTTTGATTCTTTAAGGTTCTTCAAAGTCGTAGATTTGTCACATAAAACAAACTACTTAAACACTGCACATATCGATGTGGCCTTTGAGTGTAAATTATGTTCAAATTTAAGAATGCCACTAGATATTACAATTTTAAATTTTATCTGTACCGACCGTGCTCAATCATTTTACTTTTGTTAGTGCTTGCCCATCATATGAGTTGATGGGGGTGGTTATAAATTACAAGTGACATGATCTGTTATTAAGTTGGAGCTTTGGGTTCAGGTGTCGGCATTCCCAGCCGTAGCTACGAGTTGCCGAGTTGCGGCCAAGTACGGGATTAACCGTGCACCAAGTCGAGAGGGAAGAATTCGACTACATCATCCGAATACATACATTTATGTATAAACGAGGTACAGCTTGTAATGTTCTGATGGCTAATATTGTCAAAGTTTATTTTACAGCAGACACGATATGACATTTACTTATATAATAATAAATTCAACTGGTGGGGCGCATGGCATCGCGCCTTAAGGCAAATTGCTGGAACTTCCTGTACCAAAAATTATTTTTTTTAAAAAGATTAACATTTTTGAAAAAAAATAACTTTGAAAAAATTAGATTTTTGAGAAACTATAAATTTTTGACAATATATTACTTTTTTTTGGAAAAAAAATACTTTTTGAAAAAAAATTTATTTTGAAATATTTTGGAAAATCTGAACTTTTTTTCAAAGCAATCGTACTGTTATAACTGCATAGAGACGAATATCGAAGCACGAAAGCGCCGCGTCGCCGTCTAACGGATAAACATTGGTACGGAACTCATAGAAATGTAAACAAATTTTATACTTATTGTTAAAAACTCTATAAAATATCTGATAATTTGATGTACATATGTCTAATGATCATTTTTGACCGCCAAATGACATTTTTTTTTACTTTTTTTACTGGATCTCCGAAACCGCTAGACCTGCTTCCATGAAAATTCGATGAGTTTTTCATCTTGTTAATACAAGTAAAATGTTTTTTGAATAATTCAAATCGGACGCTCCGTTCTCTTAAAAACTGAGTTATCGTTTTTGGTATATCTACGGAACGGCTAGACCTGCCTTTGCAAAAAACTAATCAGCACGTCTCCTTATCAATGCGAATCGAATGTTTTTTGAATTATTCAAATCGCTTCATCCGTGTTCCCGAAATCGTCGACAAAAATTTGTATCCGCGCACACACACATACACGCACATACACACACACATATACACACATACACACACATACACACATACACACACATACACACACACATACATCTATTTTTTCTAAGGTATGCCAAAATGTTCAGAAGGTTTTGAAAATACTATAGATTTTTTTGTCAATTAAAAAATACTCGAACACAGATTGTGCATCATTTTCATTATAGAAAAAGTCAATACAAATCACTCCTGGGATTGAACCACTGAACTCTGGCGCTCTCATTGAACTGTGTGCGTTTTGTGTCGTCAGAACCCAGTTAAAATGTTGTTTTTGAGGTATAGTATCACTTACAACTATTTATTTTACACTTGTACATCCTCAAAATATTCTAAATATTTTGGAATTTGAGAATATGTTTTGTTTTTTTTTTAAAAAAAAATTGCAATTTAAATAAATTTAATAATAAACAAATTTGAATAACCAACGGCCAAACCACTTTTCCATGACGAGTATATTAGAGCAAACTGGTTAAAATACACCCTCAAATAAAACTCTGGCAATCAAAACACGGGTTTGAAGTTTTCGAGAAGTTCGTCTATAAATGTTAAAGATCCAGTACTGCATCTCTTGTACTTGATACATACATTTGTATCTTGAATATGGTCAATATAAGCCTGTATGTTTTCAATAGATTTAAATTATTTTAAAAGAGTTTATGTCGTGCGATAATATATTTTAGTTTTGAGAATCGTTCGTGCTCAGCCATCTCGGTCATGTCAACCTGGATTCAATAAAGTCGTCCTTCTCGGCGTGTGTGAGAATAACATATTGTATGTGCACATGTGACGTTTGTTGCGAACAGAACTCGTTAATATTTTATTGGATCTTCTTAATGTATTTGTATCTTAAAATTAAGATTCAAAAGATATAAAAATTTTAAATATTTTATAACTACTTGTTGAATATTATATGTATATATAATATAAAATGTGTAAAATACAAGTCAATGGAATAATTGCTAATTTGTTATGTTGTTATTGTTGATTAATCAAAAATTGATTCACCTATTACTTAAGAATATATATATATATATATATTGGGGTGGTCCTATATATGGACATTTTCAAATTTCCTTGCTCTCAAGGGCTCAAATGGTTCCAAATTGATAAAAAACAATTCCCTGAAAGTTTAAGCTCCTAATATTGTCTTTTAGATAGAGCGCAATTCAATCAAAGTTTTGTATGGAAATAGCATGAAAAAATTTTCGAAAATTTTGCAGAGCGTCGAATTTTCAATAAAAAATGACACGAATTTTCACTTTTAATTAATTTGTCGCTAAGTTATAACTAATTTTTTTTTTTTTTAATTTTAAATTTTTTTTCCATGCTATTTCCATACGAAGTTTGATTGAATTGCGAACTATCTAAAAGTTAATATTAAGAGCTAAAACTTTCAGAAAATTGTTTTTTATCAATTTGGAACCATTTGAGCCTTTGGGAGAAAGCAAATTCGAAAATGTCCATATTAAGGACCACCCTAATATATATATAATATATATATATATATATATATATATATATATTGATTTCTCAACCAATTTTACATTTTATATATCTCACAATCAGTTAGATAGAAGTAATATTGAAATAAATATTTTTCAATTAAATTGAAGTGCGCAAACGCAGCCGACTTTATAAGAGTGCTTAAAATAATGAAGATTATACGCAATAAATGTCTCTAAATAAATTCTGATATTTACATGTATGTATCAGCAATCACCATGGTTGTTTATGTGGAGTGTTGTGGGAACGCTGAGGTGTCTAGCTGATTTAGTGGCGGAACACATCGCCTTATTAAGTCCAGGGGATCGGGTCAAACATCGAATGAGCTTTCGGGGTTTGGGGTAAAGGTGGGCGGACATTCGAGATAAATTGTACCCAGACACGATCCGAACACAATGAACGCACACACGATGCTGTCATAACACAGGAACACAGCAACATGCGATTACTGATCAGTAATAGATCATTGCAATTCGATTCGGACTATTAATACAGGTTTTGAAAATCATAAAGATTTTATAAAATACTAATAAGTTTAATAGGGCAGAGCGGGGCTTATAGGTGCGCGGGTAAAAAGGTCCACTACAGATATCTCAAAAACTAACTTGTGTTTTAACAACAATATTTGAAAAAAGAGGAAAGAAGATCTATAACAAGCGATAAATGAATTAAAAGTGAAAATTCGTGTAATTTTTTATTGAAAATTCGACGCTCTGCAAAAATTTTTGAAATTTTTTCATGCTATTTTCATACAAAACTTTGATCGAATTGCGCTTTATCTAAGAGACAATATTAGCCATCTTAATTCCTACGAAGTTGCTATCAGGAAAGAAATGACAATGTTTGAGATGCATATCATATTTAACTATACCTTATGTAATTGTTTTATAAGACGTATTGTTAATTATAAGTTAGGTTCAGTATTTTTTTATATAACATCTATAAAATCTTACACGTGGGTGAGGTAAAAAAGACCATCTGAACTTTTACACTGGCAACAATGAAAAATTGTAAATAAATAAGTAAATTGGGTTAAAAATAAGGAATTTTATAAGAGGTAAATTAAATAAATAGTTATTTCAGCTCTGCTGATAAATATTTCTGACAAAATACCAGATCAAGGTTATATACAGTGTTATATCGGTGAAAAATCTATCCATAAAATTTATATTTTGCATTGGCTGAATAATGTAACTACTATTTCCTAAAATTCATCTAATCAAAAATAACACATTGGCACTGTTTGCTCCCTGGGGTAAAAAAGATCAGGTGACATATTTAAAAAAAAAATCAGTAAAAAAAACATTTCTACAATGATGAATTACATGGGAGTTTTACTGAACATAGTCAGATAGTTGTTGTTTGATATGCGTTATTTGTTGTGATATAATTGGTTTGGTTTTCACTATATAATTGCACAAAGTCAAAATGGTTACCGTTGTGCCTCGCCCTACCCTATATAATTTTTTTCCACAAAAATAAAAGAGATAATAATATACACTTAAAAACTTACACTTTAAATAAATTACTTAATAAAAGTAAAATCTACGTAAAAAATAACATTGAAATTATGTTTTTAAACCGCATCCTAATTGTACAATTTATTTCTTGATTAGAGAGTAAAATATCAATTCAAAACACACGCTTATAATAACAATGGCTTACAATTAGCAATGAAGTTAGAGCATTTTTGCGTCGTGTTTGTTTTGGTATTAAATTAAAAGTAACTTAATTTCACCCCATATAAAGTAATCCAAAATGCAAACTATAATATTTATAATTATTAACATCTAATACGCTGATAATTAAAGCATCAACATTCTTAAAACCGCCAGAATTAAGACGTTCTGGAGCAATGCAAAACTGTCATAAATGCTTATCTGTATTCAATTCAAGAGACGAAATCGCTTACAACTATATCTATACATAAATACAGATGCATATATAGTATATACCCTCTTTATATATAATTCTCTTGCTTTTTCGACATGAAAACATTCATAATCGTAAGTACA